TTCTTAAAATAATTACTGTTTCTTGTTTTCATTTCTAGTATTTTATATTAAATTACAAATATGTTATCTCAAAAGGGATGAAATAATTTTTCCTTTTATTTTTCACTTCATCTCATAAAATTTCTTATTCTCTACTTTTAAATTGCATTAATTAATAATAAAAATCAAATTTGGAGATTTTCGTTCAAAAAACTAAAAATTGAAATTAAATTTTGTTTTATAACCAATAGTTTGTTAATTTTATCTCGTGCCACATTTATTCGAATGAATAGAAGCAATTAATTCGAACATGTTTTAACGATCAAACAAATACCTGATTTCGGTTTATGCACATGTTGACATTTTTTATGAAATTAAAAAAATAATTCAAAAAAATTACGTTAAATTGTTTGGTTCAATTAAATAAATTTTGAATTCTTTTGCAAAATTTTTAATATTAAAAGATATTGGTAAGAAAATTATCGGACATTCGAAAAATAATCGAAAATTTTTATTGATATTAACAGTCAATATTAATTTACCAATGCTCTCTCCCATACACCATTCGGATATTCTGATTTTTCCTTATTCGTATACCAACCAGTTAATTCGAAATCCGGTAATTCAACTACTTCCATTACATGCCAAAATAATCGTACTTCATCCGTATTATATGGATAACTTTCAAAAACAAGCTGACAATGTATTGAATTAAATGGAAACATTTTTAAATTCATTTTACATGGTGCTCTAACTTTAAGCCTGAAAATAAAGAACTTTACTTAAAATCATTAGTTTTTTGATCGAATTTCATTTTAAGGTTTTTTAAAACTTAGAAACAAAAAAATGTTTGCCAAAGTTATTTCCCCTGAAATGTAATTAATATTTTATATTTGAAAGAAGTGAAGAAAAATTTATTTAAATAAAACTTTTTTCAATGTTTCAAGAAGAGAATTTCTGAATAAAGAAGGGCGATAAATAAGCAGAAAGTGAATTATATATGTATTTATGTAATATGCAATCAATATATAATTGTTGTTTGAGCTACTTTTTTAATTAAAATTTGCTAATATGTTATTACTCGCATAATTATCAAATTTTTGTTGCTAATTTTGCTTGATTATAACATCATTATCACTAATAAATTTGCTTTTGTCATTAATTTGTTCTTTTTTAAAAAAAGATTTCAATTCTGAAATGATTTTAAATTTCATAAATGAACTTTGTTTTTTGCATATAAGATGCGATAAAATTTCAAGTAAATACAGTTTGAAATATTGAATATTTTATTTAAATATTCTGTTCCAAAATTGGTTTTTTTTACAAAAATTATTTTCTTTTTCAAATTAGTTTTTTTTCTTTCTTTACATGAATTAGATGAAGCTAAGTTCAAAAATTATTTGGCGTATTCTTAACATATCCTAAAAATTTCAATAAATGCGAATAAAAATTCCAATATTTAGGTTTAAATATTTTTAAATATAGATTATCAGATCAACAAATAATATTTAATATATAATAATTACCATACCAATAATAAATAAATAATTCCACATCAATAAATAATATGAGGAAGACAAAAAAAATGGAAAACATCTATTCGAACCAATGGGAAATAATAAAAATTTTGATTAAATGCTATTTTAACTAAAATAGTTCCGATTAAGGTTTAAATTTGACGTCATAAATCATTTTCATATTGCATATGCATATCCAAAACTAAATTCATATCATTTTTGTATTCTAATTTAACATTATTATATCCACTAAAGAAAGGAATTTCATAAACAATTAGCACAAACAAAGTTAATTGTTCGCAAGAAGTTTAATTATGCGACAGTAAATGAGAAAACTTTATGACATTGAAATTAGTATTGTTATGCTAAATAAAAATGTTAACAAAAAGAGGGAGAAAAAACAGTTTGTAGTTTGTAAATTGCATTTTTTTTTTCGGATATGTATTACAAAATTTGATAGCAAAGATATGAAAATTGGTCGAATTTTTGAAAAAATTAAACTGCACTAAAACAAATGTTAGTAATAAGCAAAAGCAATTACTGCCAACATCAATTATAAGAGGCTGTCGAATGAAAGCAAAACAACTGGATCAATGATGTTAATATTTTGTAGAAGTACATAAAAAAGTGGTAATTAATAATTAATTAAAATCACTGAAATATTGGATATTAATGCTAATTATGTTGAAATAAAAGATTGTTCACAGTCAAGCATTTCCAATAATTTTTTTAATTTTTGTTTTTTTAAAACAAAAAAGAAAATGAAATAATTTTTTTGCCTTCTTACTTTTTTAAAAAAAAAAAAGAAGAGAGAAAGACAAAACTTTCTGTGATAGAGCATTTTGAAAGTATACAGTATGCTTCATGGAATACAAAAGAATGCAGTATGTTTCCTTCCGATGGAATACGGTTGAATATGGTATATCTTATTTCGGATGGCATATGCTAGTATGCTTTAATAATACGCTTTATGTCAGAAGGCATACAATAACTTACTCTAATACCTTTAGTACTATATGTTGCATTATCTTTAATACATATTGTTTAATTATTATATGCTTTCAAAAACGATAAAAATATTTCCCTATATGATGAATAGAAAAAAGCAAAAGAAAGAAGCGTTTAGCAATAGAAGCTATAAATCAAAAAAAGAAACATAGAAATACAAGTGGAAAGTAAGTAACCATAAAGATCGATCACTGAAACACACACTGTAATAGTGTTTAATCTTTATAATTTAGTACAGCATACTTTCATCGTTTCATTTTTGTTTTCTAATATTGCTATAAAAGCGATTATATTATAACATAACAAAAGAAATGATTGGTGCAGTTGGAAACGAAATTAAATTATCAGTTATGAAGACAAATTCTTTTTTTTAACAAATTAATATAAAATGATATGATTTAAACCAATCTTTCCTTATAAAAATTATTGAATTATCCGTTATAATTTTCATTTATGCATAATATTTTGTTTTTCAATGAACATTTTGCTATTTTATGGATTTATTAAGTGAAGTTTCAGGACAATTAACATAATTATCATGAATGAAATTAATAATTCGAGACAAATCGGATAATGCAGAATTTACACTTAACAGTTTTTACCGTCGTTTTTTTTTCTTTTTCTTTGTTTAAAATTGCAACTTTTTTCTTTTTCCATGGTTTTATTTTGTTTACAACTTTTGTTCGATTCCTTTCCTCTTACTTCATCCTTTGAAAAGCAATGAAATGTTTTTTAAAACACAATATAACACTTTTTTTCGACATCAATGAGCAATGCTTAACAAATTGTATATTATGTAAGTGATAAGAATCGTTTGGTAAATTCAAACAACATAAAGTTACAGTATTTGATAAATATGATGATCATATCTATTTTTCATTAAAGCTGCTTTCCGTAAGTAAGCTGATTACTTCATAATGCATGACTACTTTAAATGTTGTGCATGATGCCAAAGTCGAAACTTACTTTTTGAATTTCTTAGGAGGTTCAGGTAATAATTAGTAAGAGCATAATTAGTAAGAGGTAAGATAAGGATAAAGGTATGTTGAAAAACATGAAGTAACTTTATAGCAATCAAATAAACTAAAAATTTTTAATCATCTATATTGGTTTATTCTTATTGACTTGATTTAATAAACAGGTTGATCGATGAGAAAAATCGTTGGATAAGATAAGTATCTTGAAAATCGAATTTTTTTTGGTAATATTGTAAATTACAATGACAATATCATCGTTTCATTTTCATTTTCAAAATTTTCAAATTTTAAAGTAGAAAACATATCAATCGTTACTGTTAGACATAGTACAATCGATCAAATTTAATTTGAATTACTTCAAAAAATTAGTACTGTTATCAGTAGTCAATTTAAAATTTTTTTTTTAAATTCACCAAATATAGACGAATTTCCACATCATATAATGGTTACTCAGCCAGCGCTTGGAGTTGGTGATGATGTTGGTGATGATTTTGGCAATGGTGACAGTGATGGCAGTGATGACGATTTTGTTGATGATTTATTTCTAATTGTTTTATCTCCTGGAATTATAAAAAATTTCAATTTATTTCAAATTTTTTGGCTTATTGTTTTACTTTATTTGAAATTAATTTATGCTTACAATTTTTCCTTTAATAGCTAAAATTTTTGCTAATATTGATTTGTTTAAAAGCATGGAAATAAAAAAAAAAGAAGAATGAAAAGTTGTCTTTTTTTTCAAAAAATATTTAAGAATTTTTTAAAATTTTGCAGCTATACTTCTTTAGCGAATTATCATTCATTTTTAGACTTTGGTTTATCTTTTCCCGATATTTTCACCACGGTTATTGTAGTATTCGTAAATTATCAGGAAAATAAAAATAAAGGTAAAAGTAACAACCTTCATCGACAGATTTCGTTAAACTAGCTGTTGCTTTTTCGGATTTTTTTCCCGCATTATCATCTAATGCTATCGTCTTCCTGATAGATGATGTCTTTTTGGTGACAGATGATGATGATGAATCTTTCTTAGCAGATAAACTACGGGCAGTCTGTATTTCATTACTTTTTGTAAGTGATCTTTCTAATTCCTTCCGTTCTGATCCGGAAGTCTTTAAAAGTGTTCTTGGCATCGATTCACTCTCATTCCTCTTCACAATGTATACCGGTAGAATAGCTGTTCCCGGTTTTTTTTCTATAAAATGAAACACAACCGGTTGTCCTCCCTCGATATGTGTTACATACTGTGGTAACTCTGGTATCTGTAATTGTTTCATCATTCCCTTCAAACTATATTTTCAATTTCTACCTCAATAAAAAGCTCGATGGAATCTGAAACCCTGATCTATCTATCTTCCTCATCATACATCAATCTCGACATCTGCCAATTGGTGAGAAATAAATGAACAAAAGAAAATGGAAAGAAAAGAAATATGTTTTAAGAAAATGATTGATCATTTTTGTTACCTTTTCCTTCCTCAGTAAGCTAAAGAAAAAGTTTATTAAAAAAAAAGGTTGAGATGCAATTTTTTAATTGAATTTTAAATTCAATTCAGTTTCTGGTAAATTTTTCTTTCAAACTTTATCGAATATCAACAAATTCATTTTTATCTATGCAATATTTCCAATTCCTTTATAACGTGAATTTAAAGACAAACTTCAAATTTAGTTTTTAAAAAATAAAAATTAATTCTTTGAACAATCTTTTTGCGACTTCGTTGTTTTGGTAAAATGAAAGGATTCAAATTCATTTTAAAAACGCAAATTGAGGAAAAAAAATTACAGCTTTGAAATAATCATCTGTACCAGCAATTTGTGTAAGAGTCGGTTCTTCGCCAGTTTTGGAATCTGTTGAAGTAGCACTTATTTGAATTGGAAAGAATTCCCAATCTTTTTTAGTTTTCTACAATTCAATCATTTTATTCTTTCATTTCAAATAGGATTATAATGTCTTTTTCATCCAAGCAAAAATGACTTTTGTAAATTTAACTGAAATTTTTGCATTAAATTTAAATGATTAAATGTAAATACTATAACACCTTTTCATTTATAAAATTGCTGTAATTGAAATGCTACACTTAGTAAACTTAGTAAAAATTTTATGAGATTAT